GATAGTGCCTGTCCTCCAAGGTCTCAAGAGAAGTTATAGTCAGTCCCTTAGATATATGTTTGGTTAGCAGCCTGCCTATTAGGCTGCAGCTATGATGATAAGCTAATAGACAGGCCTCTCTCATAGAAAGACTGAGCTCCTGGCTATGTTGCTTCTTGCTGTGCCCTGAGGTGAGGACAGTTTTGTCATTGATCATAGTTCTGTGGGACCTATGAGTGTGAGGTCCACTGGTAAACCAGAGCCCAGCAAGCTAGAGGTGCTCTGGTAAGCAGCCACAAAATCCAGGGCACCAGACAAGGACATAAACTCCCTTCTGAAGAAACTGGAGAGTTGGAGCAAGGCAGAGGGAGAGTGAAAGGTTGCACTCTCCAGCCTGTGTTCCATAAGAACGCCTCTGTAGGCCCCTGTAAGTGCTAGACAGGAGCCTGCACCTCAAGCCAAAGCTACTGGACAAGCAAACAGACCTTTTTTCTCAGGAAGAATGGAGCTATATTTCAGTTTGCTATTTTCTGCCTTGCCCTGGAGAGGTAGTTGCCAAGTACTGTCTTTCTGGTTATTATAGTTCCATGGGATCTGGATCACAAGTTTCCTTGGCCTCCAGAGCCAGGAAATCTTAGGATGTTGTGGATGGCAGCTGCAATGACCTGATCACCAAATATAAAATCTGAATTATCAGGCTTGTGTGAAGTTTCTCTCTGGGAGACACTGGTGCTCTGGAATACACCGTAGAGGGAGAGTGTGAAGATAGTACCACTGGCTACAATGATGCAGAGGGGTAATGTAAAGGCAGCAGCCACCAAAAAAAAAAAAGAAAAAGAAAAAGTAAAAGAAGAAAAAAAGTGGCACCTTCCAGCTTTCAGGAGACAGGGAGGGCAGGAGGATGGTACCCACCTGCCTCTGTTCCCAGAGAGTATCCCAGCAGGCTGTTGCCTTTCAGACCAATGCTTTAAAATTAGCAAATGGTGCTTTTTAGTTTATAAATATACTTGTGGGTAAAATGTATCTCATGGGAACTTTTAAAATGTGTTGTCCTTGAACATGCTTTAAATATTATGGAACATATTAACATTTTGAACTTATAGTTCAATCTTTGGATGTGAACTGTTTTACCTCTGATGACATCATTATTTAGCTACATATCATCTAAAATTACTTGGATGTTTGGAAAAACCATGTGGTTTTTTTTTTCTACTTTGATATGTATTAAACCTATTCAAATTCTCTATTACACATACCTTAAGGAAAATTCTATATTTATGATATATGATCCTTCTAGCTAGCTAGTCTAAATAACTACATCTCTGAGCATAGATGGTACCCTTCCTCATTATTTATGGAACATTTTTTGCAAATGTCTCATTGAGTCTCATACATAGACACACAGGAAGAAAACTGAAGCATTTGTTACTGAAATATTAAAGTGGTATTTGGTATAAACATTGTTAGAAGTATGACATATATGTGTATACTTTACAATTAATTAATTTATAAATAAATGCTGTGATTTCATTAAAAAACAAAATTAGCAAATGAGTCTTTATCACAAAGTCTTTTTCTCTTTCACATAAAGTTGGGGTGCTTCTGTGCTGGGTCCTGGGGTGAGTTAGTCTGTGTACAAGGTCCTTAAGAGCTGTTTAGTGGCTGTCATGAACAGGAGCTCTGTTGGTTTTCAAAGCCAGATGTTTTGGGGGCTTGTCTCTCCGGTGTTGGTCTTAAAAGCCGTGCTGCCTGATGAGAGGTATGAGCCCTTTGCTCCCCAGGGTGTAGCTCCAGGTTTTGCCTCCTGGTTGTGGGGCACCTGGTGGGTGCGGGGTTTATGGCAAGGCTGTATCTCAGCATTTCCTGCCTGCTTCAGTGAGGTTTCCCTTTTATTTGTCTGATGTGATGAGGTGGTCCTGCCATTTTTTAGGTTTTTCTTTTTTTTCCAGAGAGAATTGTTCCATATATAGCTGTAGATTTAATGTGTTTGGGAGAAGAGGTGAGTTCCTTACATTCCTACTTTGTTATCTTGAACCAGAACCTGAACAGAAAGGAATTTGATAAAAAAATACTAGGGAGGTGTTTACAATGCTTACTTATATGGTGACTTTAAGGTTTAGAGAGAATGTTTGCATGTTTTCATTCTTGCCTGCTTTGTGATATTTGAAAATGTAGTCAAATAGGACAGAGTTCGCATTAATTTCTCAGTTCAGAGACCATTTTAAATTCAGTATTGACAGCATTAGAACATACCTAGGTTTGTTTTGGGTTCAAATTTATTCACTGGAATTTTTTAAAAGTTTGAATTTGGTGTGTAATGAGTTAAAGTATTAACACAGGATAAATTCAGTGTTTAGCAAACTGTTTGGAGGTACTTGGCTTATTTTAAACTGCCCCTCAAAACTTTGAACAGGTAAAATCCAGGAATATTAGAATCTTTCAATTCATTGTGCTTTAATTCCTAACTTATCTTCAACTGAGATATCATTTATTTTGAGATATAGTCAATATAATGAAATTGCAATACACTGAACTAATATAGAAAATCTCAAGAGGTCAATTTCAATGACCAAGAATGTTGGTCTGTAAAATCCTCAAATCAAGCCAACATCAAATAGCTTTAAGTACAGTCTAAATCTCACCTTAACCATTGTCTTATTTTTATCTTCTGTACTTCATCTTTATCTGCAAAAAAAAAATTATTGCTTGCACTCCTTGACATCTTTCAAGTGTGTATGTGCACAGATGGAGATGGGGTGTGTTTAATAGTGGTCTAGCCCAGGGCTATAATATAGATATTGTATGACCTCTTTGACAATTACTTGTTGTATGTAGAAAAACTTACTTAAAGAAATGAACATCATGGTTTGACTACTTTGAGCTGTTCAGTATCAATAAATGGAGGGTATAAGTCCTGATAATAAAATTTCAAGCTAAAATCTCCACATTATGCAAATTCTGACCTTCCATGAAAGAATCTTGTGGTGAGATGTATTATTAATGGATTTCTCCCTTTCTTCTTTGGCTGTGGACATATTGCCTGAAAGTATTGGTTTTCATGTTTCTTATTTTGAAGTCTTACAAATATGTTTACTCTAAAGCTCCTATTTGGAGTTGTATAAAGTTCACAGAGATAAATGTGAAGAAATATTTAAGAAGGAGAGCTATTATTTCTTAGGGTAGAGGAAGTGCTTGGAATTGAATAGATTGGTAAAGTATTTTATATTAATTATAGATAAAATTATTGAAATTATGTAGAACCTTTGCTCTGGTATTATTTTGATTTGAACATAGTGAGAAGGGACCAGGAAATGGGCAAGGCACAGAAACTGTCATATGACATGATCAGGCCATGTCCCCAACATGATCAGGGAAAAATGTGCGACTTTGGCTATGTTGAAATTGATGTGTAGAATTGGTTCCCATTTAAGGCCCTGAAAACTCTTCCTTTAAAATTTGAGACCAACTTAAATTTCCTCAAGTCTTGTATGTGGCCTGAATCTTTCAATTGGTATCAATGAGTTTTTCTGTTTCACCACATCATTTTTATCTCTGTTCTGTTCTCTCTTTACTGTTACTGCCTTTTGTTAGAGTTGATGGTATAGTAGAAAAAACACAAACACTGTAGTATAAACCAAGTTCAAGCTTTCTGAGTTCCAGTTTACTCACTTGCAGAGTGGAAAGGAAAATAGGAACGCCTGTCGTGCTTGGAAGAATTAAATTGGAAACCATACTTGGTACTGAACAGGTACTCAATAAATGCCAGTGTATTTCCCATTTCTGAATTTCATGTCTAGTTTTCCTGGTAGTAGTCTGTATATTCCTTTTGGGCAGGACATGTGTCTTATATTCATAGTGTCCTGGTATAGTAGGTTCTAAACAATTATTTGTTGCATTTAATTTATTGTCCTCTGTGAAAGCTTAGCACTATTATCTTCTACTTTTTTCTCTGTCACATTGCATTGAATAAACATGTTGCTCTCATGAAAAGAGAATTTAATCCAGTAGAATGATGTTATATTATGACTTATTCCATAGAGTTTGAAATAGTAAGGGTGAAATAATTTCCCTGGAAACTTAATTATATTCTATAAAATCTTATTAGTCTGTCGCATAGCATCATAGTCACAGTAGAGTTCTGGTATGTTTATGATGGTGAAGTCTCTGTAGAAATCTATCCAGTGGCATACGGTGAAAATATGGGATGTAAAGGACATAGGGGGCAGATGCAAAAGACTTGCCAATAACATTACTTGACATTTTCAATCACTAATCCTCTGAAGTATGTTCTAATTTACTAAAATAAATTCAATTTTATTGTTAGCTCCCTTTCCTTACTTATTAGTAGCAGAACCATATTGTGGTCCCCTGTAATTTGTCTCCTTTGTATTTATCTAGTACCTGACTTAAAAATGAACAGAAACTTTCTAATTCAGAACTGATTTCCTAACTCATCTGTGTTATAGTGCAGAAGTGAATAAATATTTGCTGAACATGCTACATATGCATTGATCACCAAAATGTTAGTTTTCTTTCTTTCTCAAAATACAAGATCTGGGAGAAGTGTGCTGGGTGTCCGTTCTGCATAGATATTTCTACAGAGGCAAGCATCTACCTTTACATAAATTTGTTTCCATTGTTGGAATGTGGAGAGTTCTTTTAATATCTCTTCATTATGATTTGAAATTATACATTCATTGCAGTTTTTTTCTTTAAATGTAGCAGCATATGCTAAAGCATGAAGAGTTTTTTTTTTTAAATGCAGTGTGCTCTTCTGTTGGAAGGAGGACTTACCAGTCTTTTCATTCACGCAATGATGTTGGTTGTACTTAGGATACAGTTTCTAATTCTTTATAATCATTCATTATTATTTCATTGAAAGGAAATTGGCTAGCATTTGTTATCTTTGTATTATAAATGGGAGAAACTGAGGCTAAGTATTGACTATTTCTCTGTGTTAGCTAGTTAGGAAGTTGAGAAAATGCTGCTATACTAATAATTTACTTTATGTTCAATTTCAGTTTCAAAGGACATTTGAGTCTCTTAAAAACGTTTCCAATAAATCTGACCTCCAGAAAACCTACCAGAAGCTTGGGAAGGAGCTGGAAAATCTGGATTACTTAGCCTTCAAACGTCAGCAGGTAGGAGTTCAAACTCTCCTTGGTGGAGGAGATGAATTCTTTATGCTCCCTGCTGTCCTGCCTGTCAGGTTCAGGTGGGTCTGGGAGGCCTGATCTCATGTTTAGGGCAGAGCTAGCTGTGCTGTGCTGTGCTGTGCTGACCTGCTGTGTTCATATGGTTTCCTGCGGCATTTGATATGGGTCTTGCTTCTAGATGTGCACCCAGGGGTTTCCACAAAGATGTGTCCCTCTCAAAGAAAACCAGTGTGTGAAGATACAGCTGTCCTCCCACAAGCATGCCTCAGTGGCATGAAGGGAACGTCCATGATGGCTTAGCCAGAGGCTTTATGTTTGACAGGGCAGATACTTGAGGAGAAAAATCATCTGAAGACCAAGAACAGGATGTGGGTGTACATAAAAAGTGAAGGGAAAGACATAAACATGCCAAAATATGAATCAACCTTTAGTTTTCTTGTTTGATCTCTGAAGATTAGGAACATTTTGCTAAATGTATAAGATTGAAAGAAAATATACTTTATAAATGCAAGTCTTTTTGTATCCTTGTAGATCCCAAAATAAATCCAGAGCCCAAGTAGACTTCTACTGGGTTGCGTTTAGAATTAGTATTTTATAGTACTAATAATCATAAAATTATCTGTTTGTGAGGTGCAGCCACAGTAGCTGGCTGCGAGCTTTTCCCAGCCTGCGTCTTTCTTTCGTTTCTCTGCAGCCACTAGGTGGCAGGCTTGTCAAACGTTTACTTTGATCAGATCTGCCAGTGAGATGTTTAAATTAGGTTGCATGAAATTTGGGAGTGTGCTCAATGATGGAAGGCATCTAGAAAAATGACTAAGTGGTTGACTTGCATGGCTAGGCACTGAGCCCATTACTTCAGAGTCTCTCCTGTTAGTGTGGCAAAAGGTGTGGCTCTTGCCATTGCCTAATTCACAAATGTATATCTTATGGATGGAGTTTTCGAAACAGGACTTCCTATTTCTAGTTATACTTTGTGAAGTCATCATGGTATGGTCTAGAAATATTGACTCGAAGAGAACTAGATTCTGATTCATCACAGATATTGCATGGCCATTTAACCTTCCCATGGCACTATTTTCCCAGGAGTTATGTTTGTTGTATAGATTGTTTTGAGGTGAATAGAATATATCTGCACATACTTTAATTTATAAGGAAAAGGACACAACATCCATTTAAATTTTATTTCCTTATTTTTAATTAGTGATAGCCTAGGTGTCAGCCCATGTAACAGAAGCAGGCACAGTTACTGAGAGCTACCACTGTACACTCCTAGATGCTGCTGCTTAAAATTCACGTGGTGAGTCACTCACAGCTCTCGCCTATGCAATTGTTAGTACAGTTTGTTTCCAAGAGCCATATTTTACTATTGAGGGGTTTTTAAGTTGGCAGGCAGTAGTCACTGTCCTCTTCTCCTATCCTTTCTCATTAGCACATTCTCAGTGATTAGATTCTTACATTAGCTAATTGTGAATTTGGAAAAATGTGAATGCTTCATGGACGGAAGGACAGAACTCTGGGAGAATGGCATTGAGAACAGGTGGGTAAATTGCATGTGTGTGTGAGGAAAAGGTGTACATATATATGTACACTTATATATATGTATATATGAATCATATATACTATTAAGTGACAATTACATGCCACATAATGTGATTGGTACATTTATGGATTACATCATTAAATACTTGCAACAATACATGGGGTTGGTTTTATGAGCACCATTCTACAGTTGAGCAAAGTGTTAAGAAAGTTAAGTGACTTGCCTAATGTCAAAGGGCTGATGAGATATCAAGTTGGGCTCAACTCTAAATCAGTCGGATTCCAAACCTGGGCTTTTCTCAGATCTCATTCCCAACATCTCTGAATGGAGCCAGGCTGGGTAGTAGTAAAGTGAGGAGTTCTAGGCATGCAGTATGAAGGCAACTTTAGGAAAGGCCAGCCTGGGGGTTAAAGAGACTTTGAAAATGGGTGCCTGGTGAGAGGCAAATACAGGGCCAGTTTTCTCTCTCTCTCCCTCTCTCTCTCTCTCCTGCTGATTGTTCAATAGCTACAAAAACACAATCGAATTTTTGACAGCTAAGAAAATATATAAAACTTGTTTTCCCAATCTTCTAAGTGTTATATTTTGTAACTTCAGTTCTAATGAAATTTATTCACAAAGGCAATTTTTTAAATGCAGAGGGACAAATTTTTATGAAATGAACTTGCCTGAACACATAATATTGAGTCAACCCTTTGTCTTACTGGACTCGACCTTTCCCTATATCTACTGATCTTTTTTTTCTCCCTCCTGGAAAGATGGAAGGGGACTGGAGGAAAGTGGTCAGAAAGACAAGGATGATAGAATAGAAAGAAAATCAGGGACCAAAGAATGATGGAAAAAGAGGGAAAGGTATTACAGGGATAAGATAAGAGTGATAAAGTGAGGGAAATTAAATTCTACTTGGTTTTATACTATATGCCTCTAGTAAATTAAAACATGGAATTTTGAGGAATTAAAAAAATATCACAATAGAAAAAGGGGGGAAAGAGAGGAATATAAGAAGACAAAGTGAATGAGGGAGATGTCAAAGAATAGCAAAAATGAACTTTGGTGACTTGCCATTTTGCTTCTGAATGTAGCAGAGCTTTGTAGACATTTGTAATATTAACTAAGTTCTTCTGTACCAAAGCCACAAATTGCTGTGTTTCCTGGATGGGCAGGGTTCAGAAAGTCAGAACATTAGCCGTTACTTGACTTGGTGGGCTTTCCCTTTTATCTCCCATCCTATCTGGTTAAAACCCCTCAAATCCATCAGACAAAGTAACAAGTTTCTCCTACTGGAAAATATTCAGATCTCTGTAAAACTGCAGTTCAGAAAGAAAGATTATGCTTTGTAAGACAGGATTCTTTTTACCAGAGGATTAGTCATGGGTTGTTCCCTGGTCCAACCATATTTATCATTGCACGTTGTGGCGGAATGTGAGCTCCCTAAGGACAGAGCCTCGTCTGTCACCTTCAATGCCGTATTCTCTCCAGGGTTCAGAACGGTATCTGACCCATGGCAACTGCTCAATCACTACTAATTGGTGCTGTTATTGACACGAACAAAGGAGCATGCCAAAAGTTTGGCCTCAGATTATAGGCAATTAAAATTGTTGTGTTTTATTACACTTTTAAAATGTATAAGAGCATTAACCTTTTGGCTTCTGGATGCCGAAGGCTGACAGATTGCCCCTTGCCTTCTATGTTATTTAGGTTTTCTCCTAACACACTTCATTTTTTATTCCTTTCTTTACACAAATACAAAATATCAGTGTTACCTTAACTATGAATTTTAGATGTCCATTGAGTTGACTATAATTACTTTTCTTGGATTCATTCATTAGATTTTACTTTCTGTCTCTTTCTCTGACATTTTCATGTCATCTTGAGGGATTTCTTTCTCTGGGCCAGGTGGATCCCTGGAATACTTTGCTCTAATTATTTACCTTACTTTTGGGGGGTTATTGTGTGAACTTAGCTATTTTTTTCCTTTCCTTCTTTCTTTTCCTTTTTCTTTTGAAGAGTTAGTACTTATACTTCAGCTATTCCTTGGGCTGTGTTTTAGGTCAGAGTACAAGCATCTCTCCATTTTCCTACTGTCAAAAAGACAAATGTTGAAAATAGCTTTGGTTGGAAAAGGTGAGAGGAGGCCATGATAGATGAGGGGGTGGGTTTTCCAGGAGAAATTAGCCTGAAGTAAGTGAATGGAGAAACAAGATTAACCCAAGAATCCAGAGATTTATTTTTCATGTTTTACAATCTGGAGATATAATCTGGAGTTTATCTGCTTGGACTGTTTGGTTTTTATCATCCTGGTTAATGTTACATAGGACTGCTTGGTAATAGCAAGCTTCAGCTATTATATAGAGCCTAGATTTATGTATTAATATGAGCGGTTAAAAGTCAAGAGATTTCTCGGGACTTTGTTTTTGTAGAATAAAATAAAGTCTGATAATCTGTACTCTAATTTCTTCCTCTCTTCTTTTATCCTTAATACTCCCTTTTCAGAGGCTCCTGAAGTCCTTTGGTATAAATTAGAGTTGACACTCTTGAGTTGAACATTATGCAGACTAAGGTACATTTATACATTGATGTGAAAATATGTAAAATTAAAATATTGTGCTTCAGGTACACATCCATTTTGGAACATATCACATACCCCTTATCTCCCTCTTCTTGATCATGATATGCGTTTCCATATCATAAATTTAGCCTCTGATGATTATATTCTCATTAAGGATCCACGTAGTACTGGTTAGAAGGTGGGCTTTGTTGGTGTTGACTTCTGGCTTATACTATTGGTACTGTCTTGGGCACTGCAGTTTCTTCTTTTAAAATATTAGGAAAATAATACCTAACTGATAGTCTGTTTTGATAAAACAATATATAAAGTATGAAGTACATGCATGTTCTAAGTCCTTTCAAGTATATAAAGGAATCAGCATATAAAGCACAGTCCTTGGTGTGTGGTTAGTATAAATGGTAGTTATTATAATGTTTGTTTTGTTTTATCCTTATAACTCATCTTCCTAAATGGTAAGTTGCATAAGCTTATGATCTCTATTTTGTATACCTTTGTACTGCACATAGGGTCCAGCACTCTATTTTGTATACCTTTGTACTGCACATACTGAACATTAAGGGTGGAATGTTTCTGGACATATGTAATCTAGCTGTTGGTGATCTAAGCAAAAAAAAAAAAATGTTGGTACCTTTTAAGAATGGGGTTCTAATGTTTTTTGAGGTGTGGCTCACATTGAGCAATGAAATTAAGGCTCTGAGTATTGTACCATGCATCTGTGTAGAAATAGGGTGTTAGACGTAGTGCTCTGGCTAAGCCCCAACTCAAGTAATAATGACATCCTTTGTATCTGAACTTCCCTTATGGTTCTTGGCGGTATTGTTCAGCACAATATTGGTCGCGTTCAGGAGTGAACAACTGCATTTTTTCTTTTACTGA